AGATCTTTATTGTTAGAAACTTCGAAACGTTTAGGACGAACAAGAGGCCGTTATGCATGAGCATGCGCGCAACCGCTGCGTTATAACGACCATGGGCTCTAGAATACGGGTAGAATAACATTGTAGTAGCTGCGGAAGCTTCGATTCTGAACATAATTGATGTTTTTACTTATCTTCCACATTTTTCCAAACAAAACCAAGTAGATATATTTACAATGCATACGAATATCTTTCAAGCTTTATATAAATTACTGTGAGTCTCGGGCTAGATTTATAACACGAAGCCACTTTGTACCGTTAAAATGTAGTGAATTATTTGTGCACACCTTTAGCAATAATAAATTCCTAAGATGTGAATCGATTGCACTGCAATAGTTTATTTCATAACTTATAATTATACAGCTATAGAACTACACATAGATATTTATGATAACTTGATTCAAACAAGCTCAACTCTTCAGCCAAAAGAATGCTAAATCTGTCGTGAGTGCTCAACAGCACGTCAAGAATTTGAAGAATTAACACCGTTTCACATCTTTCATAGACAAGAAAACATTATCAAACCATTTGCAAAGCATAAGTCTTGATATTGGTAGCCTTATTCTAATGAGTCCTGGTGGTATATAAAAGGAAAGTTAGTATTTCATGTAACAGTTAATAATATTTAAGCGTAAATATTGTACACTTCAAGAAACTGCCTTTCGAACATTTCGAGGTCGATGTTACTAAACGATGCCTAATTATATTACTACATGTGTACATTTACCATTTACTTCATGACCTGCGTTGAATCTTGACCAGCACTCAGCAAAAACTGGAACAGTAGCTGCGTATATAAACCACTGCAGCCTCCATATTGTAAACACAAAGTCATTAATATCAACATTTCTTAAATAAGATTTTAAACGGTCCCAATCAGTCCAATAAAGCCAGTGTTTTTCCTCGTTATAGGTTACACTATCTATGAGTGTTCTTGAGTCATGACAGGACATTTCAGGGTCAAAAACAGCCAAAAACATTTTTGGAAATTGTCCTTCGTGTCGTTGTAATTTCTCGCTTGAAGTGAATCACTAATGAATTTCAATGAATTTTCAACAGACTGGCGCATGCGCACGCCAAACGGCCCCTTGTTTTTAGGACGGAGGTCTTGACATGTCAACAAAACAATTGGTTTCCACCGCTTACGATTGGACTAAACAATCACGTGACTGAAGGGAATCAGAACATAGGTCAGTGTAAATAAAGTAGGGGAAGGAAGTATACCTAAATATAGAGCGCGCAATCTAAGAAAATCTGTACATTCTATACTTTTATTGTACTCGATGTATTACTGGTTGATCTTGGCAATAGAAAGGCTTACTATCNACCCATTTCTTTCCTTTCAAACAGAGTGTCTCGCTCTTCTGGAGTGAGGCTGGATGCTTCCTGAGGTTTGTTTCCTTTCCCAAACCGTTTTAGTTGTTTTTGTTTTGACTTCAGTGTCTCTCTCGTTTGGGAAAAACTCTGCCCTGTAATCACGGACTCAGTGTACCGGCATTTTTTCAAATGTCTTTCCACTGATGCAATAAACCCTCGTAGTGTGATCGGTTCGTATTCCTCGCCGTTTTTCTTTCTGACAGATAACAAGAATCTGGACAAAAACAAGTCGAGCTCTCGAGGAGGAATTTCTTCAGTCGGGCGAGTCTCCTTCTCAGCCGTAAGAAATAACTGAATGAGCGACAGGTCGTTGTTCGTCTTTCTTTTGGTGTTTACATTTCCTCCTGCTCGATAAACTCTTCCACGTCTTCTAGATTAAATGTGACAAACCTTTCTGCCATTTTTTGAAGGTTTTTTTTGAAGAAAGATGTAGAAAACTCCAGTGAACAAACCAAGGCAAAGGCAAAGCTGCCGATGTGATTTTCGCGCCTGTGGAAAATGACGTCATAGAATGCGAAAATCTGATTGGTTTATAATTTCACATGTGAAAAATATCGTATCTTTACGTGTGCTGAAATACGAAATTTCTCAGTTGCGGAAATCCTTTTAAAACACTATAGTTTATATAATAAAAGCACATTCTGCTCAATTCAAAATTTTTGAATAAAAGATTCGCACCTTTCTAATCTTCCAGTAGTTTCTGCCATCTGAAAGAGCCAGTTGTCCAACTCTTTTATTTATCGTATATCGTTGAGGGGTATAAAGTACACCGTGACCAACAAAGGTAATTTTTCTGTTTTCAATCCTTAGATGGTAGTCGCACCATTTACTTTTCTTCTTACCACAGCCAGTTTTGTTTCGAATACTTTGGAATACAAAAAGATATAGGAATATTAACAAAGTAATTATAAACGACGTAAATTACCGTCAACAGCCACTATTCATTTTGATGATTTGTTTATGCTTTGAAGATACACACTTCATTTATAGAAAAACAAACAATGTCGTTATCATCTTCTTATGATATTATTGTAATATTCCTCATAATAGCGTTGGGTGAAAATGTATTGGAAATTAAGCATAAGCACTCTTTGCTTGAAAGTCCAACTTTTTTCTGTGTATACGAGAAATCTAAGACACAAACACATTCTATACCTATAGAGAAGGTTTTCCACTAGGATCGGTAGGAATTTTGGTAAAAAGTAAACCAATCAGAAAAGGTTCAAAATTTCACTTCCACAACTCTGGTATGTCTGTATTTTTCAAAAAGTCGAAAAATATCTAGGTTTGAATCTAGGTGCCGCTGCTTGTGTATACACAATTAATTGACGAACAGTATTATTTCGGTCTTTATTGCATTTCTCTTGTTGAATTAATTGAAATTGCAGTTGTTCCGACGATTTTAAAAAAAAATTGACTGCCTGACGTTTAGTTTTTTTTGTTTTGTTTTTTTGCAAAATCAGGAAAACGTTCAGATAGCTTTACAGATAATTGCTAAATTTTGAAGGCGATTTCGATGCTTACGGTAAAAAATGGTCAACAATTTTCTAGATCTCGTCCATGAAAAGTTGGAGAATCAAGTCACAATTCAGAATCGCGAAGGTAATTGTGTAAAATTGTGTAAGAGACTAAGTGATAACTTACTATTTCCAGTTAGATCCCCCGATTTCCCACAAAACGGGGTCACCCGAGTCGATGTCCACATAGGCTTTGCCATCAACTGTTGTCCATGATAGCAGCGAATCACAATATGCGTACTTCACTTTGCATTTGAACTTATTCACAATGCTGTACGTGTTTCCCGCGTGTGGGACCAGTTTCCAGTAACAGTTGAGATTATTATGAGGCACAAGTGTAGTGTAAGGATTGCCATCAGGTTGGAATTTCTTATCCACTCTTTTCCAATCCAGGTCTTTGAGTCCAGCGCTCTCTGGGGTCATAAGGCAATGCAGGCCAGCCATGGAACGATCATATTTACCCAAATTCAATATCTTAGTGGAGAAAGTGTCCGTTATGANACTGAAGGGAATCAGAACATAGGTCAGTGTAAATAAAGTAGGGGAAGGAAGTATACCTAAATATAGAGCGCGCAATCTAAGAAAATCTGTACATTCTATACTTTTATTGTACTCGATGTATTACTGGTTGATCTTGGCAATAGAAAGGCTTACTATCTCATTTCATTCATAATCRCAGAACAATAGATTTTGTATAGTTACAGAATGTTTGAATTTTATTAATCATAAGATTCATTWKTCGGTAAACATTCATTAWMATTATTWTCAGAAGCATCCATARTTATCAGGATTGCTTTACATCATCAGTGGAACCCATGTCAGTCACGTCGCTAAAAAGAACAGAAAAGGACAATTCAGAATAAATGAATGACTATTTGCAGAAAGAGGTTGGATATGGACAACAGTGTATTTTGATACAGTTGTATAATCCCATTGTTTACCATGTAAACTCCTTATCTAACGAAAAACTGATTTGGTTTAGAATTTTATATTCTCTTTACTAAGTATAGCAACTAGCCATTTTCTGTCTGCAGTATTCGTACTCAGTGAATACTAAAATAACAATTCNGAGCACGAGAAAATGTCGTTATTACAATAGACTTCAAAATTTGCATTTTCCCCAAGTTGAGACTAACCCTGTATTCCCATGAGACCTAAGGTATGAGCCTTCTGGGAATACAGGGTTAGCCTCAACTCGGGGAAAATTTAAATTGTTAGCGATATTGTACAAGCAACATTTTCTCGTGCTTTCTTTTGTGTTTGGTAAGTTCTTTGCGTAAGAGAATCTGCTGTCAAATAAAACAGCGGTTATTCGCTTTTACTTCGAAACTGGAGTATTATAGATTTCACGATCAAGCATGCTTTCGGAAAATGAAAAAAAGGCAGTCGTTTTGATG